CCGGCCAGTGTACTCGGTCTCTTCTTTAATTCTTCAGCATTTGCAATTCAATTAAGGTGGGCTCCGAAAGCGGGCCAGAGACAATGCGCCCACCTGGCGTGAAGCGTTAAAAATGCAATCAGAAGGCAAACAAAGCCGACAAAAGGAGATGTAGCTGGAGCTTCACCTGTAACTGTGACCATGACCAGGCCTCGCCAGGTGGGCTCTGTGCCTGACGGGTAAGGAAATCCGCGGGCAAGACGCTATGACGACGTCGTTTGTGCCTCGCCGCTCGGTCGGTCAGTGGAAAGTTAATATCTCGCCACGCTTTGCCGAGTGAAACCTAAGACAGCCTGGAAGTGGTAGTGAAGGGTTCTCGAAACGGCAAGTACAGAAATAAAATAACAAAGCTGAAAGGAATCGGGGGAAGCTGGCCAGTGGCCACACGCAGTTCGAGTGAAGTGAAGGCTGGTGAAAGGAAGACGGATTCATCGAGAATTCCCTTTAATGCCCTCGAAGACCAATATGGTTGTAGAGTAAATTGGAATCAATATCTTAAGGAAATGGGGAGAGATTCTACACTGGAAAAATAGTCTATATCATACTCTAATACTCTTACTCTTACTGTTACCTCATTTCTTAAAACAGAAAATATAGAACTTGCTTATAAATTTCTGAAAATTTTCTCAGTGCAGCCAATCACTGTCCCTTCGACATCGATGGTCAAGGTGTGCGTGGCGTAGGGCAGGGACACTAATCCCTGTTTTAGGCATCATTGCCTCAAAAGATTGCTGCTCATTTGCCGTGCCTAATTGGCCAATGTCAGCTTAATGTCGTCCCCTCCGCTTGGCTTCTGCTACTGCTGCTGCGAGGACACATGGACACACTTCCGCATGGGGCACCCACCCACATAGATACACAGACACTGACACAATCTGTGGGCTCTGTGGGTGTGGCCGAACTAATCGCATTGACCAAATGACCCAAAAAACAAGCGACAAAATCTGCAGCTGATTGCACACACCCCGGGGTTAGCCCGGTCCATTTTATATATAAATTTCCTCGTGTTCACACAGAGGCAATTACATGAAAATTCTCACATTTGAGTGTGAAAATAAATCAAGGAAAATACGGTGTTTTTTAGAGGAGTGAGTAGAGACTTGAGGAAGAGCAGGTAGGACGTGCTGGCTCTGGTTTGTAAACAACAATTGCAGCTAGCTACAATCGGGCACGTGTGAGTCGGAGTCCTCGTTCGGGGCCCAATATCCCCAAGATACAGATGTCCCTGTGTATCCATAAACGACAATTTGGTTTTCTCATGTAAATCCCCGGGAAGGTCGTCGGCGTGGCTTAAAGCTCTTCAGCGGTTTGCCGGGGCTTAGCTTTATGTGAGCCCGGCATGCGATGTTGGCCAGCACGTGGCCAATTCCATTTCCCAGCTACATCCACGGCTCCGTCTCCAGTCTTGACCTGCTGGCTGATACCGGGCCAAGGATCCCAGGCACCAGGCGCCAGGCTTCTGGCTGCTAGTGCCTGGCTCTTTGCTCTCATGCACCGCACGTTCTTCAACTAATCGCTCAAGTCTTTTATATCCTGCGGCAGGCAAGGATAACGGCGACGAAGGCGGTTCGAGGAACACTTTCGTGACCATGCCGGCTTCTAACTGGCTTTCACACTGAAATCAAATATGCACCTAATTCTCAATAATAATTATAACAATATTTATTGTTAATCTTTCTTTGTCTAGTGGAGCATTTAGCTAAAATATATGTCTTATACTTTCAAGTATACACCCAAGTATAGGCCAGAATTTTTCCTAGTGTCCTGCTCGGAGGCATAATCACGCATCGCCACCGCCACTTTGCTCAATCCCGGTAGCTTACTGGCAGCCGCGGGCCTTTGGAAATTGATAAAAAATGCCCGTCATAGCCGCCACACACGAGGATTGCAAATTGCTTAATTTATCCGGGCAATATTGAAGCAAAATATTATTTTTCAAGGCCTTTTCATTCGTTTAAATTTTTGCTCGATCAACAGTTTTGGTTTGGTAAATCACACAACATTTTTGCGTAGACCGACCTTTATAAAAACCATAACTCAACAATTCCACTTTCATACAAAAAGAGGGCCATAAATTAAGTGTCCAGGGTTGAAGCATCAGAAACTGATGTATGAAATATTCGCGGGCTTTAAAATAATTTGGCGGCACACAGCACAATAATAAAAAACAAATCTGCAGACGGAAATAATATGTATTATATTGTAATATAATTTCTCGAGCGTAAATCTAATTTATCAATTTATGAGGGGCCGACAAAAAAAAGGCCAACGAAATCACGCCAACCGGGTCCGAAATACATTTTGTTACCAACTTTTGCTGCGAGCTTCCATAGGGAGAGGGCGCTGTTGGTGTGTGTGGTTTCTGGGACTTGGTTCTCGCCCCTGTATATATAAACGTGGCCGGGCCTTGCAGTAATTGGCAATAAATGTGTTCATGAATTTTAATGTTGCCCTCGTCGGTCAGCCAAAGGCGCAAATCGGCCACGCCCAGCAGCGGGCATAATTCATAATGCTCTGCCAGATGTTTCGGAACGTTTTGTTTCTGATTTCTGTGCTTTCTTTTTGGGGGCAGAAATTTAACGTAATTTGATTTTGCTCCCTTGGCAAGTATTGAGATTTATTTGGTTTTGAATAGGGCCTGGGTCAAGGCTCATCCCCTTGGCTCTTTTTACCAAATTTAATACCGTTCGCAGTTCGGCTGGCCGGCAAACGAGAGTTTATTGTGTGCGTAATTCGAGAAGGGCTTACTTACTCCAACCACTTCCGCTCCGACCCGTAGTTGCTTTGATTTATCATATTCAATTACAAGAGCAGTGAACGTATTAAATGCCACATCCGTCGTGGCCCGTAGGCGTATGAGTAATGTCTGCTTTCCCTCAGCCTTTCTAGGCTTTTGTTTCTGTTCCTTGGGAGTGCTTCTCCGATAAGTTTGCCTTCGGAAAACAATATTGTTGCCAGTGCTTAAATAGGCAAAGGGCCAAGCATGTGCTGAAAGCCGATATCAGCAACTACTCTGCTCCGGAGCGCCACTCACTTCCTCTTCCACAACTTTTAGCGGCTTCGCGTGCGCCATCTGCAGGCATCCCAAAAGTTGGCCGAAAGTCCAAGTGGAGCGTGTAGGACGTCAGCTGGCTGGATGTCCGGACGCACCTCGCGTGCTCTTAGCCTTGGTCTCGGGTGGCTAACGAGTCTGGCAGATGCTGATTTCTGGGCCATCCGCCTCTGATTGTTGGTTTACCAACACCAATGGGATTAACTTTTGAGAGCTGGGGACTTTTATTTCCATCCCTAACAATAAAGTCACTAATAATTTTTTAAGTGCTTCTATAAACCTAATAGTTTTTCAATCCTCCAGCCCCCATATGGTAGCCTCCTCATATGTCTTCGAGAGGAGCCATTGATTGGGCTGTCAAGCCACCACTGTAATGCATTTGAGGCGTATTTATGCCCCACATTATTTCCTAGGTGTGACACCCAATTTGAATTTAAATTCCTGCCTCGGGGCACTCGTACGCGAAGGATGGATTTATATTTTGGGAGTGCGCTTGCTTGCACTGCATACATTATAAAAACTTCCATTTTTGAATGCAGTTTGGAACTTTATTGTGAGTTATGTGCCATGTTAAATTGGGTGTGAGAGTGCGAATAAAGAGTTAAGGGTGTGTAGCTGCGGGAACTTCTCCGGCCGTCTTGAGTGGAAAAAAGTGTCCTGACGGGCCGAGTTGTGGCGGAGGCTGTCGCAATTTTTCACTTTTACCGCAGCAACTTTTGCAGAAATATTACTCAGCCGGGCCCAGTGGCAATATCCTGACAACAAATCCGGCACCAGCACAATGCATAAGGTGCCGACGATGAGCCGGAAACTTGACAGTTACTGCCAGCCAGACAACTCTTTCGGCCTTCTGCGATCTCGCCCCGAAAATATGTAAAATGAAAAATGTGCTGCTGCACATAAATCCTGAGGCTTTCTCATGTCCTCCGAAATGTCTGGCAAGAAAAGCCGACGCGTCCGCATCCAGGCAGGCCGAAATTTAATTTCCCAATGCATTTCAGGTCTTGGCTCTTAGACAAATTTAAAATGGTTAACGTGGCACTGCAAAAAATGCAATTCAAAACTTCAGAAACATTAATTTTTGAGGTAAAAATGCATAATCGTTTTCGGTTTGTCCGCCGTTTTCCGCCCAAAATTTTAGAATATATTTTTTTTTGTCGCTGTTCTGCAACCACAATGTGCTGCGGCTAATTTATGCAGCACGCTGGACTGCATCGGAACCGCAAGACCAACACCGCACTTTATCGCTGGCCGCGGCGCACAAGTGTCCCAGTGTCCTGGCGGCGGCGACCACAAATCACCGAGGTCAACACGGCGTATACGCAATACTCTCCCCGACCCACTAGCACAATCACTCCGGCCTCAAAAACAAAACGAAACTATGTAACAAAACCGCTAAACTTGCAGTGCACGTATGGAAAACAAAAAGTTGTGTAGCAGAGTGCCAGGACAAGTGGGGGAGCAGCTGGAACAATGTCAACATGTGACACCACGTTGATTTCAATTTGAATGGCTCCTCGGCGGGCGGGAGTTAGTTAGTTAGTGCATTGGGGTGGTCTGGGCATCGCGGTTTTATACAGAGATTAGCAGCTGTGGCGATTGAGGGCGCAGATTATCGAATGAAAGATCGAATATTTGGTGCGATACTTTGGAATATGGCTCACAGGAATCTCGTTTCTCAATAGGTTTTTCCTTGCATGTCACTGTCTACCAGCCTACATTAAAATATTCATTGCCAGTCTCCCTCTGGACACACTGACCCACAAAAGACATCCACCACTAATTGCATTCTCTAACCACAGCCTGAAAAGAAACTGAAGAAAAACTGAAATAACTTTGCATCTCTCCGGTTCTTTCTTTCTTTCCATTGCTCTGCACTTCAACCCATTTTGCGGCCTGTCCCCGGCAGATGCTGTTCAAGTGGCTGCTGTTCAGCCTGTGCATAATGCCGGCGATGTTCAGCAACACGAGGAGGAAATGCCCCACTGAATGCCAATGCAGCGTGGACGACTTGGATCGTTATCAGGCCATCTGTACAAAAGGTAAGTGGCGCAATAAATGCAAAAGGCGAAACCAATAAGGACACGGCACTGCGAGGATGAAGGAAGAAAAATGGGGGAACGTAAGCGTTGGCAAATTATGCAAAATCACTGGGGGCGTGGCCGTAGTGGGGGCCGTACTACAACCCACTCTGTTGGATACTATCATAATTACACTTCCAGCGGTGCGATAAGATGCTTTGATTCGAGCAAATTCCCGGCACACACGCCATCCACAGATGAGCTTAGGAATGGGAATGGGGGAGATCCCCCGGACATTACTTTTAAAGCTCCGGCCATTTATTTTCCTTAAATGTCTGACAATTTCAATTTGTTCAACTGTCATTTGCCGTCGTCGCTGTGGCTGGGGATTTTTTTTTCCAATTTTTTTCCAGCTCTCCCTCCTAGCTCATCTACTTTTCTTTGCACTCGCCCACACTCACCGAAAATCTATAATTTCAATTTAACGCTTGTTTGGCCAGGACACACATCGTAGGTCCTCGAACAGCTTTGAATCCAGGGCTCCTGTCGATTGAATTTCAATCCACAAACTCAAGAAGAGCTTTTAATTATTGTCAAGACTTAAACGGAGATGGGAGATTTAAATTCAGATTTTATCAAAACTTTGCAACTATTCAGAGTCGCAAACATAAACCGCTTTAACGATTCTTCATGCTGAAAGTCTGTGGGCAATAAATTTCACTAATATTCTCTAAGCTGCAATTTGTTAGAATTCCCGCAGCTAAGCTAATGAGCAACCCTTATCTTTACTTCAACTATGACCCCGCCAAACAAAAAACAAAAACTCTTAAACAGAAGGCTAGCTACAAAATAAAACTGGGTGCGCGTTAAAATATGTTACAATCAGTGTTAATGCTCAGCATTTTTATGAAAATTCCCGCAGCGTGCTCAGCCAACAAAATAAAAATATACAAAAAGTAGAAACTGCTGCAACAATGAGCGCATTATAATGCAACTTCACCCTCAGCTATTCACATCTATAGCCGGCACACCCTGCCATGCGAAATACATAAAGCCCAGATCCGAATTCAGAAGCCCCAGCCAGCTCCGCACAATAGAAAGTGAGCCAAATGTAAAAATTGTGCTGCATACAAATGCGATGTTAATGGTAACTGGGATCCGTTTAGTTGTACTCGTAGTTACTCGCAAAATTCTAAATAGATGCCATGCCAAAGCCCGGCATTGTCCGCGTGCCAAAAAAAGGTGCACCCCCAGGTCGGGTCTGCAATTAATGATCTTACGGCCGGGTCACGAGCCCTGGGCTAAGTGTTATTTAAATTTAGGAACTAAATCTTTTATTTGCCGTGTAGTTTGTGGTTTACAACCGTTGCCACAATAAAATTAGTTCAAGTGGCCTGGCCACTCGACCTCAACTAGTTTAGCTGTTGGGCTTTAATTGTATTTTTACTTCGCAGGTGGCCTGAACTCCTTGCTCTCCGCCAACGAGCTGGACATCGATGTCAAGGTTATTGTCATCGGAGGGCCCCGCAACTCCATTACGATTGGCCCGGCCCTGAGGCAGTTCATGAAGCTGGAGATCCTGCGGATAACAGACTCCAACCTGCCAGCCATCGGAGCAGAGTCGTTCTGGGGCCTCAAATATCTGCGGATATTAGGTGAGTAATCAATCCTTTACGAGGCCGAAAGGCTCTTAAATTCGTCCTGATACACATAAATCCGATGGAAGGCAGCGATTTCAATTTAAGCAGCTGCTGCGCGCTCTTAAAACCAACTCGCTGATATGCAAATAATATGGAAGAGTCGGGGCGGAAGACGCAACGAAGCCATCCGCTTGTCCTGCAGGCTCGTAAAACCTGAAATGCAAACGCAAATAAAGCAGCGGACGCGTTGCAAAACGTTAAATGAGCACACCAGTGGCAGGCCGAGAAAGGACAACACAGGATGAAGCAGGACTTACAGCCGGACTCAGAGGGTCCTCTAAATTTCTTATTTATTTTGTGCGGGGAAAATTAAATAGATTGGTGGATTCTTTTTAAGAATATCTACAACTCTCTTAGTCGAAAGTCCTGAATACTGAGTTCTAAATTAAACTCTCAAATTTTAAGATAAAGGGCATTTAATCTTCGTCACTGCCGCGACTGGTGATGGTTGTCTTGTCAATAAAATTGAAATTGATGCGCCAAACAGCAAAAAGCGCCCGAAAAATAAAATAAGATTGTGCTGGTTGGCTGGCTGAGGTCCTGGGGGGCGAAAGCAAGTGTAAAACCCAATGAAAGCAATGCTCCGATATCGCTGGGGCTTTAAACTTGTTTATTTGTGCTTTATGTGCGCCTCCGCCCCCCGCTGGCGGTTTACAGCTCCAGCCCAGCCCAGTCCTGCCCAACCCTGCCCAACCCTGCCCTGCCCTGCCCTCCAATTATTTACATGCCCGGATCTTATTTTTGGAGGCAGGTTCCCCATGTTTTCTGGCTCGCTTCAGTCAGAAGTTACACATGCTACAAAAACAGAGCTGCAGCGAGCTGAGCGTTTTTTCCGGCAGCGAAACAATTGGCATTTCTTTTGGCTTTAGTTCCTTTTTCCATTTCCATTTCTATTTAAATTAATTTTGTAGAATGTTCAAGGAGGCGTGGCCTGCCTCTGGCTCTCAGCTAGACAATGGGGCGTATGTGTAATGTGCTTCGAGTTTGCTTTATGCAGAACTTTGTTTCAGTTTACAGTGAGAGCCCTTTAAATTTGATCCCCTTTACGGATGTTTTTAATTCCCTTTATGTATTAACTTTGTATCTCTGGCTGTCACCTGCAGATCTGTCGAAGAACAACATTACAAACATCACGGAGAACAACTTTCGCGGCCAGGATAATTTGATTGAATTGGATTTATCAAAAAATAAAATATTACGCATGGCCAGCTCGACTTTTCGCCATCTGACGGTGAGTATATCAGATTCATAGCCTTTCTGTATGTCCGATATGGAATCTCATAACCAATTTTAAAGCGATGTGCACCTTAATTAACAGAAATATCATTCGGAAGCAGTTATTACTTCCCGCATCAGCCGCAGCTTGTATCTCAGAGATGATTGCAATTTTTGCACGAGCTCATTCGGCTTGTAATAAATTGTGTGGCATTTTTAATAGCCTTGGTATTGGTGGTGCTTCTGGTACTGCCAGAACTGAAAATTTGTTGCTCCCATTTTGGGGGCCAAAAGGAAAAGTTGTACGTGCTTGAATTTAAGTTCTTCTGGTACTCTTTCCCACGGAAGTGCCAGTGCACAGAAGTTAGTTTCGTTGTCTTCAATTTGCTTTCGATTTTGTTTTCCACTGCGCCCAGGCGACTTCCTCTCCCACTTTCCCACTCTTCCGCTTGCCACTTGCCGCTTTCCTCTGCCACTGCCACTGCCACTGCACTTTCTGCTTGCAGTTGCAATGCTTGCAACTTTTTTGGCAGTTTCCGGACCGTGCCTCGGCAGTATTTGCCTGATTTATGAATTATTAGCTAGAGCTGTGTGGAGCTTGATCATAAAATATATTATTAATTCAGTGCGTGCCGTAATAAACTTGGTAAATTGCCCTCTTCTCCTTCCCTGCCCTGCCCTGCCCTGCGAATAGGATCTGCGACGTCTTAATTTGGCCGAAAACTCGATTGTGGAGCTCGTGCAGCGCAACTTCTTCATGCTGAGCAGACTCAAGTATCTGGACCTGAGCGGAAATCCGCTCCAGGATTTACAGCCGGATGTGTTTCGCGATGTGCCGGTGAGTTGTATGCCGCGTTTGTATGGAGAAGCCACTGCTAACTTTGCTTTGTATTTGTATTGCTTTGTTTTGTTTTGCCAGGAACTCAAAGTACTCAAGTGCCGCAATTGTCAGCTGAAAAAAATCAATCCGCAGATGTACAATTTATTGCCGCTTTTAAGCGAATTGGATTTGGGACGCAACGAGGTTTGTCTCCGCAACTTTCCTTATTCCTCGCCGCCCCTTTTGAAGAGTTTTTCCAATTATTCTCTTGCTTCCCGCAGTTTAAGTTCCTAGACAAGGACGAGTTCAGGGATGTGAAGCGACTCACCAAAGTTCTTCTGGATGGCAATCAATTGTCCGTGGTGGTGGACCAACTCTTTCGGATGCAGAAGAGTCTTAATCATTTGGGTGCGTCTCACAGAAATTATACCCACTCCCAGTTTCCCTTCAAGAACTCTCTATTCATTTCGATTTCTTTATTTCCTTTGGCTTCATTTCAATCCTTTCAGATTTATCGTACAATCGGCTGGCCAAAGTGCCCAATGACTCGTTTCTTCAGCTGACTAATCTGACATTCTTGGATCTGTCCTACAACAAATTGGTGCGTCTCGAGCCGCAATCCATAAGGAGTTTAAGCAACCTGCAAACCCTCAACATAAGCGGCAACGTGCAAATGGATCTCAGGGAAATGAGAGAAACCTTCGAGGTAAGAAAGCTCTTGAAACCATCTTATCAATTTTATCTCATCTATATTTTATTATAACCTGACTTGTACAAACTCATTTTTTTCAGCTCATACCCCAACTAACCCATCTGGCCATTGCGGATATGGGTCCAATGCCTGTTGGCCTACTGCACCCCTTCAAGCAGCTGAGGTATCTCAACATCTCCGGCAATTCGTTGAACAACACAGCCCTGGAGGTCATAGATCCCTGTCGGGAGCTGGAGGTAAGTCAGTCACTGCTCACCTGGGCAATAATTCTGAATGAAATGTCGTACGGGGCACACCCATTTAGACCGGAGATCTATTGTCCAGTGATTTCACATCCTTTTCGTATGTAGACTGTTGATTCTTTTCCAGCCAATTTGTAGAATATTTCATTGTAAAACATTGCGACAGGAGGGCACTGCCCAGCACAGCACCATTACTGGAATTGAGGGTCCCGGAATGCAATACGACGGGATGCGGGATGGAGTATTTGCAGTTTTCGTTAGCGTTTGCCATTTCTGTTTATACATTTCTGACAACAAGCCAGAGCCGTGGCTTTATATCGCAACCCACCCGGAGAACGACGAGGATTCCGTTGTCCATCTCGCTACCCGTTGTTTGTCACCCCATGTCTGTCATCCCCCTGTCTTTGTTCTCCGACTGTTGTCCTTGCAATCGCTTCTTGCGGATTGTTTTCGTTGCTGGGCTGTGGGGATCCTTTGTTGCCATCGTGCTGGCATCGAATTTGCTGTTATTGTTGCTGTTGACTATGGCCAAATTTATTGTGCAGCAGCTCCAGCATCCGGAGGAGCAACAACAATCATTTTATAGCCATTAAGCCTTTCATTTTAATTGAATTTAATTGTGTATACACTTCACTCAAGCCATTTGGGTCTTGTTATTGTGGCTGGCCCAAAAATTACCAAATTGTTTTGTCTGATTGTAGGAGCGTCCCTCTGTGTTACACTACCAAAAACTACATAGTAGTAACACTGTTTGGTTATTAAAGCTAAAAGGCTCAATATGAAATATTTCAGGACTAGCCAATTGAAAACTCTTTCCCTCAGTGCGTGTCTACGTACTCCTAAGCTAATTGTCATTTCACCAGCAGACTTTTCCAATAAAAATTAAACTTTAGTTCAACATCCGTCCCCCTTCGTCCATCCAGCTTTGTAATGCACTTTTAATTGAACTTTCTGGCCATTTTCCTGGCCTCGTTTCCATTTCGCCCAATAGTTTTTGGATTTATCTCGGAATCAATTACACGGCATCAGCGAGGACACAGCCCTCAGAATCCAAGGCATACGAAACGTGCGACTCGACAACAATCCTCTGATATGCGATGAATGTCACATGGGAAAATTAATAAATGTCGTCCGCCAAGTAAGTGAAATTCCAACTGCATCCGAAATAAACGTTGGCAGAGTCGGCAAGCGCTGCAAAAATTCGATTTCAATTAGTTTTCATTGCGGGAGCTGATTGATGATGCCCAACAAGATACGCTTTTCACACTCACCCTTTATTTTCACAATTTTCTCTATATTTTTATCGAATAGTTGCAATGGAAATGGGATACGTATCCCATTTGCTTTTTGCCCAAGAGCCTGCGCGGTGCGGAAATAAATAATTTGGACATTAACGGGCTGCACGATTGCCTAACTTTCATCACCGACGAAGAGCAGAATGCCGCCAGCACTTCCTATAACTTTCTTGAGCACGGTAAGAAGAGTTTATTAACTGGCAATAGAAATACTTACATAAGTGTTCCCCTGTAATGCATGCTACAAAAACTTATTACAAAGAAAACTTTTAGGCTTATTTAAATAAAACATAAAAAGGAACTCATGAAAATGTAAATCTTTAAATCCTATGTCTCTTTAAAATCCCTCCTAATTTCTCCAACAGGCGGTCTCAATACTCTGGCCATTTTGGGTGGCATCATCTTTGTGCTAATTGCCGTCATTATACTGTCCCTGGTTGCCTGCTTTTCAAAAAATCGCGCTCGTTACTACACTAGAGAGGACCACTTAAACGGCAGTAAGTAAAGATTAGCGAATAAATCTCTATTTTAAAGGCAGGTAAAAAAAATGCCTTCTAAACTCTGACTCAGGCTATCTGCAGGTGCCAAATTTTAAATAGTCAAGAATTTAGAAATGGTATCCTAGAAAAAATTATCGTTTCTTGGCTTGGTAACTAAAGTTCATCTTTAGGGCTTTGCAATGGCCAAGATGTTCAAAATCCAACTTATTGAAAAAGCAAATTATTTGTTTTTTATTTTTAAACGGATTTCCGTTTCCTTCTAAGACGCCCTAACGTTTTTCTTTTTCCGAATCCTACTTTTATATTATGTTTTCTTTTCTTTTAACTACTCCCAGGCGAAAGTAAATGCCTGGAAAAGAATCTGGAGGCTGCCACTATAACGACGTTGGGAAATGGGAGCTCGCCCACAACCACGACCACACTGACCCTGGCTACGTCCCCCGCGACAGCCCCAGGAGCTGAAGCAGAAACAAACGCTGGGGCTAAGACGAATGGCCAGAGTCGGAGCAACGGCAGCACTCCTGTTCACACAGGAGTCTCCGTGGAGGAAAAGGGCAAGGAGATTAATTTTACTTTTCCAGTCGACGATCGCGTCTGCACCATTGACGATATGATGCTGCCTCCTGCCCCGCCGCCGCCCCAATTGGCCCAGCATCACCCGAACATGGGCAGTTTGATGTACAGCGTGTCACATTCACCCGGCTCGGCCACAACCCTGGCCGCTGTGGCCGCGGCAGCGACGGTCCTGCCTCCCGGTGCCCCTTCCCAGGCCGGCACAGCCCTGCCGCTACCACTGCCCACCCCAGCCGAGGCTGTAGTGGTGGTGCTGCCACCGCCTCCGCCACCGTCGTTACACCACCAGCTGGATGGCAGCCTCGCCAGCCTGCGGGACGTGCAGCAGCAGCTGGTGCATCTGAGCAGCACGCTGGAGCCGCTGGTCAGCGTTAACTGACCCAGGGGTGCGCCGGGACTCGCCAGCTCCTCGTTCTCCACCTCGTCGGCAGCGACAGCCGCAGCTGCATCAGCATTAGCATCCCAGAACTGCAAGTTTGCCCAGCAAACATTGAGCACGACACCGACGTAAGCCGCAGGAGATTTGAACGAATAAACCGACGGAACGGCCAAATCAGGTCCTGCCGACGACCGCCAGGGCGTATAATTAATGGCGATGCGGGGTCATACTGGAGTGCAGTAATTAGGATTTGAGTTTGCAATTGAGTTCATTAATCACTCGCGAGCCGCTAGTTGCGACTCCCCATTCGATCATCATCATCATGGCCCAAAATTATTTCATACTGCCATTTTGCAATTAAAGAACTTTACCAGTGTTTCACTATAAGATACTTGTAATTTAATTTTAACATTTTTTATATGCGAAACTTGTATAGAAAGGGATAACAAAACTTATTTTGGCACATTTCAAATGTGATAAAAAAATAAAACGAAAACCAAGCGTATTCTGTACATAAGTATTAACTCATAAGTAAGCGAAAAAGGTAAACAATTTGTACTATATATTTGGCCAATGCGATTCAAAATTGAGCAGCCGCTGTTTGAGAATTTAAAAGTAAACATAAAATAAAGATAGCACGTAGTTAGAGGCATAGATTTCCCATACACATATAACATTTCAATGTAAGGCATGGAAAGAAAATAAGAAAATCTATATGGTTAAACCCCAAGGAGGAGAAGCTCCAACAATCATTTGAAAAGAGCCCACTAGAAACCCAAGCGATCTAATTTGTTTTATTTCCTCGAATCATTAACAAGAGAAGTTGGCATTTTTAATAAATAATCATAAGATGAAACATTGTATTTATTTTACACAGCAATAACCGAATAATTCCATAATAAAGTGTGACTGTTTATGAAACCAAAAAGACATAGAATTCATAGTGCAATTCCAGTGGCAATGGGGGAAGGACAAACCGCCGAAATGGTAAGCTTCTCTCTCGAGCAATTTATTTAATAAAAATTCACATTTACTGCACTGCACAGTCTTGCATCATTTGCGGTTTTCCTGCGACACCCCATCCTATCTATCCCACTCCATTGTGTGCGGCAGCTGGAATTATGTTGGTAACATGTCGCCGAGCATGTGCTCGGCTTTCCTTTCACGCTTTTCCGCAGGAGCACTTCCTAAGCGACCGCAAGGACGACACCAGGCTAAAACCAAACTGAACGCAAATGAAAATTGCTTCCGTTTCCGTAGTGGTTTGGCCACGGGATTCGGATTGCTATTGTTGCTGATTGCATTGTAAGGCAGAAGCTGCTGGGGAATCAGTTCGCTTTGATTTAGCTTGGAATGGGACATCGGAAGTGGCAGGAGTGGAAAATATTTTAAAAGACAGTTCACTGACACATGGTATCAATTGTGCCCTAATGTAACACGACATTAAATTTTGAACGGAATGATTAATGATGGTCGAGAAATTCCGTCAGTAGGAGGTTATCAAATTCAAACATAATTTCAATTGAGACCCATATATTATTCGGTGCATACGTCGGACATTTTCCCATTATGCTAACAAACCGTATTGATCGCAGCCGATGCAGTCGATGCATAATGTGGCCTCGTGAAAAATTGCTAACCATTTGTTTGCCGATTCATATATCTTAGAGACAATGTCCAGGCCAGGCCAGACCAGACCAGACCCGGCCAGGCCAGGCCAGCCCCGACTTCCTGGCTTCCATTTATTGGCTGGAAAAACATTTGAATTTATGCATGGACCTTGTAAAGGCTCTCTACACGGGCGTTCGGGTTCTGCATTGAAAATGCATTTGAAATTGCACAGCAGTTTGAGAGTAGTCGAGGGTCTAGGCCAAGGCATGCGGCATGGGGCATGCAAATTGAGCAGTGTGGTTGCAGCTCTCGAGATTGCACATCAATATTGCTACACTTGACACATCCTGCTGCTGGGATGAAGTGGGATGAGTGGCCGCTGTCCAGCTGTCCAGCTTTGATTAACATTTGAAGTGAGCGATCCTTCCTGCTAAAAGGGCTCAAAAAATTCCCTAAATTGCCATTGGAGAGGCTTGGAATGACCCCTTCGGGAGTTTTCCCGAATATTGAACTATTTTCTCATTTTTTCCTAATTCGGTGCATTTAGTGCACTTCACCCGGTCATTGCTCATACGCAGTGTGCGCTCGGTTGGGTTATAAAAATTTTAACAACCAGCCCGCTCCCAGGCAATTGACGATGGAAAACGGCACCCATCCTGCCATCTGGCAGGTTCGAATTGATTTCCTTCTTTAATGCACCGACTTCCCTAGCTTTGTTCCTGCTGGCAAGGATATAAAATGGGCTCCTTGAACTCCGGTCTTTTTACTACTACTTCGTGTGCAACAGTTGCGGTTCGATGTGTAAATTTAATCAGTCAGCTTACTCAACTTTGGTGCCGTGCAAGGTCCTCCGGATGCTTTCCCAAACCTGTGCCCCAGGCGGCTCTTGCGCTTTATTGGTTTACTTAGCTTGAGTGCGGAAAAATGTCGAAATTAAATTAAATGCACTTCGAAGTCGAAGACCTAGTATAGTTGATTTGGGAGGGACTTGTTGGAAGGGGTATCAAAATCATGACCGTTTCAATCATTACCAATTTAGAAGAACCACACCAACAAACTAATTTAAATTTAATCGTTTTAAAGAATTAATCGAAAAATCTTTTGGTTCCCCCACAGCCCTTCCCAGCCAATCAATCTTTGTTTCATCCCACTATTAAACCTTTCATGATAAATTGTTTTCCATCGCAATGACAGGCACTGTCTTCAGTTTGGAGCAATGTCAAGGCACGCATTTGTCAGTACTAATTGCTTTTCAAAGCATTTGCAAAAGTTGCAAGGCAAAAACCATTAGGCTTTAACCTCTGACAGCTAACACAATGAAAACGAGGAGAAAGAGCCTGTCCAGAGATGTATGAGTACACAGTACATACTATATATAGAGCGAAAATCAACAATTTCTATGGTTTATGGATTGGGGGGCTGCCGAGAGGCTCTGAGGTTTCTACACAGGTTCGACACGTGTGACAAGCCTGCTCTGATATGTCAGGGCACGAAGTCTATGATTAAGATATAGCCCTGTGCAGAGAAAGAACATTCTAAGATGTACTTTAATACAGTTGAATTGAATTTTGTTCTTATTTTTACACTAACATCTTTGATTAATTTTACATATTTTATTTTCAAATTAAACTTAATTTATATTCCAAAGGCCCTACACTACATTGTTCTCCATGTATAAACCGATGCCTGGAGAAATACATTCGCCATCGAAAAGTCTTTTTTGTGGCATGTCATAGTTGCAAAAACTGTTCGTGGAAAATCGTAGTTGAAAAGAATTGCCCGTAGCCATTTATAGATTTTGACAGATCCCTAAAGGGTCTCCTGGTTTTGGAGCAAGAAATGGGAGTCTAAAGGGGAAAAACATCAATTAAAGTCTCTCAGTGGAATAGCCCGGCTTCATACTTCTCCTAACATGGAACTGTTATTCCTTCTTGGCCCAGTTAAGCAGGACCATCAAGAAAAGCGGATAACGATTTGTTTGCATCGGCCGAGTGTGCCCCAAAACGGTCCCATGGGTGTTATCAAAAACTTTTCGAAATTCATAAATTTTTGTGGTGCAGAAAAGATAAAATAATTTAAATGCCACACGCATAAGCTGCTGGCTAATTTGAGGGGACTATGGAAAAGTTGAGCCCGTCGGTGGCAACTTTGGCCGTTTGCCATAATCGCTTGTGGCATAAATCCATGCGGTACCTGGTAAGTGAAAGGCATAAATATCCAATATGGGGTAAATATATCAAACAATGTAGCGACTCCTCCCGCTCCTCATTTTTTACGCTTCGAAGGGAATTACCCGCTGTGCTGGCTTCTCAGATTTATGAAGAGACAAAGTTGCCCGCGCGTGTGTGACTCCATTAAATCCCTTAATAGGATAATGTGGCTTACGGAAATAGGCAGGCCCTAGTAGAAAACACAAGAACAGAAAAAACAAAGAAATGGTAGATATTGTCAAATTTATTTGACACCCGCTGACAAGCAGAAATGCAAATTTAAACCGACCAGAGTGCCTTAAAGCAAAAAACCAGGAGCATAGAGTGCCTGGCTTTTCACTACGGAACATTTTGCCTTTTATTTTTTGGTTCTACAGGGGTATGTGATAAATGAAGTTTGCGTTCCCTTTCCCTCCATAGAGGTGGCTTAAACACTGGCGAGAAACAGCCATAAAAAGCTGGGCCTATACTTCTTTTTACATTTTCAATTTATAGGTTTTGTCGGTGGTAACTACTAAACGATAGTAAAGACATTATCTTTTTAATTATAGCTATACCACTCTATAAGAATTAATCCTAAAATCGCAGCCTTTTGATACAGTTTTTTAACCATTCATATAGCCAACAGGGCATCACAGCCTAACACGTACACCCACTCCATTCTACCCGGGACTCGGTGCTGTGGCGACCCTAAACACGTGCAGGCTGCAAATATTGGAGGCCACATGTAGTCGGGGCTCCATGGCACAACAATACGGATGAGCGAACTTAAGCACGCAGCTCTGTGTATTGAACATGTCATCGGCAAAATTTGTGTCAAAAACCCATCCGCAAATACCAGCACTGGATAGAGGGGAAGGAGGGCCTGGGCAGGTGCCACCATTGCATTGTTGTGTCCACCGACCAATGCCGTTTTCCCAATATTTTCAGTTATGCTCCTGCCTGCTGCCCTTAGCCCACTTGCCCCGCCAGCTCTTTTCCCGAAAACATGGCTTGCCACTTTGAACCAGGCCCAGATCCCGGATCCGGATACCATGGACTTGGGGCGTACTTGGCCTGCTGCTATACATCAATTTAACAAGCAAGCATGCTCAGGGGAAATTAGCCAGCAATAACGCCATTTTTCGGACAGTGCCAATGGCGGAGCTTTTGCCAGATGCAAACGAAAGCGAGAAGTGAAAAGCAATCGCATTTTGCAGAAGTTTCCGCATATTCATGGTCTTGATTGCCCCACAAGGTGTTTGGCTCAAGGATGTGCTTATGGAGATGCTTGAAAATTAGAGATATTCATGGTATAATATTCATAATATATGCATGCCATATTTTTGCTTCTTTTAATTAAAACTAATACCACCTTTAACCTTAAAATCTATTAGTTTGGAGCCCAGCCCTGAGTCGCGGATGTCAAAGCAATCAGGGACTGACGGCGCGACGCCAATGCCATCCTGGCTGAAACACACCTGCAATCGAGTGGCGTCAACAACCTGTCCGTGGCCCGTGGCTACAACATTGCCACACGCAACGACGTCATTCGTATATGCAGGGATATATACTCCGACATGTATATAAAGATTTGTTCACCCACGATTAGTTGACGTTGGCGCACATACACAGTTTCCGCGCCATTTGCTGTCACTTCGCCAGTTTGCACATCGTCAGGCGGCGAAGGCGATGGCGACGACGACGGCTACGGCGACAACACCGCTGCCAAGTTCGCTCATGCAGCACAGGAGCTGTATGTTTTTTTAGTTTTCCTTTCAAATGCCACATGGCCTCAACCGGCTAATGGTAACTGGAAATGGCAGCAGGTCGCACAGTTTGCCAGCCAAGGTTGGGTGCCAATTTTGTTTGCTTTTACTTTTCATAAGACAACAATTTCGGTATCCCTGCAATTTTCCGTGCTATTGGCCCTGATCAACAGCTATTGCCTGATGAGTGGCCCTGCCCCGGACTGCGGACTTCTGGCCTAAAACTTTGTGGTTCCCCGAGCCCACGTTTCAATGGCAGATGTCTGCCATGCATCAAGGTTGTTCGTTCTCGCCAAGTTCCTACCTGAAAAGTCCAGTCCAGGCCAGTTTAGCAGTTCTCGGAAACTGCAGGCGACGAAAAAACTTGTTGAAACTTTTATGTTTTTCGAAAGGTACTATGTTTGAAGTACTAACTAAGGTACTTTCTATAGTCATGGTTTTAAGAAATGAAAACATTTAAAATAACATACCAAACAGTAGCCAAATTGTTTTCAGTTTTGTTGAACGCTGGCTCTGTCTCAGAACATGGCTCTGGCTCTGGTAGGGCTTCGATTGTGGAATCGACAATTGCATTGGTTTCTATGCCTGTTATGGGCTTTTGGCCAAACTCCGTAGTCCAGAGTCCGGAGTCCGGAGTCCGTAGTTGGTGGCAATCGCGCTGATTGTGCAATGCAATTTGGCCAACGTCTTTGTCTCGGCCTCCGCCGGGCATTTGAATTGACCAAATTACCTCACAAGTGAATCGAAAGAAAGGAATAGTGACCTGTTTTTTGGTTTTTCAAGACTCTAACCTTAATAATATAGCTTGGCTTTAACTTTAAGCCACATAGAGTCCTTGCTTTAATGACTGCTGGTCAAGAAAGAGTTCACTGCAGTATATTTAATCTGAAAACCAATCTCTTTCAAAGTGAAACCCAACTTAAAAGATAATTGATTCTAATTGCTCTTCACACTTCCTTAACTGAATCTTAAACACAATCATCAATTCACACTCATTTGACAAACATATTGCCATCACTCCCGGGCAACATCGTATCAACGCCTCTCGGAAAAGTTCACTTGTAATATATTTAAATGAGATACAAGCCCATAACCAGTGCCATTCCTGCCGGCCCACGGCCCACACGTCGTGAGTGCAAAAGTTTTGCTATTATTAAGGGCCTTATTGTCGGTTTTGTTGGACCCTTGGCGACTGTCCGCCGCCACCACCACCCCTGCCTCTTACAACACCCCTCAAATGGGTATAGTTGGGGAGGGGACCCACACATCCATACACACTTTTCCGACTGGGCCCCAGACCACACAATAAAGGACAATATATTTCACACAACTTTGTTCATATTTTTAATGTCAGGAGTATAATAATTACGTTCATTGACTTTGTTAAGTAGCCTACTTTATGCTAATGTGATTTCGTTGCACACAAAACAGGGCTTTGGAGAGAATATTTTTACATAATTGAAATATGCAGACAGAGTCTTAAAGTGACAGTTTCTGCAAAGAAATACAGGACATTTACCTTTCAAAGTGAAACATTCCAGCTGAGAAAATAATGCTTCCCCCAATGCTGATTTGAAACCAGCTTACCAGTTATTTTGGCTGCAAAACAACGTCCAATACCCATCACGGAAACTCGAGTGCTGGCCTGGTAGCAGTCCACTTATCACTACTTAGCGGGGAATTGTAAAAGCCTCAATTAAATTAACAAGAATTACGCAAACAAGGGTGGGATAGTCCAACATGCACGTAATATTTCTAAATAAATGCGTCACTTTCGGAAGACAACAAACCAAAATACGCACCTATTATCGATTTCCCAGCTATTTTCAGTCTTGCATTGCTAATACGCCGTGTTGTTCGGGTATTATTTAATGGCAAGCCATCGATTTTCGCTCGCAGTTGCAATGTCAATATCAAAGACGCCAAGGAACCCCTAGGAGTGCGGGTGCCACGAAAGAAGTGCTGAGTTTACTACAGCGCGGCTAATTGAATTTACAGGTGCGACAGGTGCCACATGGCCAGGTATAAATGCCGGATTGCCAATGAGCGCTAATTAATAGCCAAGCGGCCAACGGAACGCGGCGTATCCCCAAAACAGACGAGCGCGAATCGTTGAAATCGGCACTGAATTTTGGAAATATTATTTTGATTTTTTGAGAACTCCGGCTAATAATAAACAGCTTCAAAATGGTGGTCAACTTCAAGGTGTTTAAGAAGTGTTCTCCGAACAACATGATCACCCTCTACATGAACAGGCGGGAGTTTGTGGACTCCGTCACGCAGGTGGAGCCCATTGGTAGGTATCCCAACGAATGGATCTCATAGGGAGCATCTAGTATTTAAATTTGTTCCACAAACTATTCAATTAATTTACTCTAAATGCGGTAAGAACGGCAAGACAAACCGAAACTGCTTGCAATGCCGCCACAAACCAGGATATAATTAAATTCGCCAGTAATTTATGCAACCGGAGATGGTTGCATTAGCAACAGCGTAACCGGCTTATTAGTTACGTGACCTGCGAAAACACGTGACCGACTGGCTGGCTTCCGAAATCACCGATTAATTAGCATCTACTTGCAGATGGAATCGTGGTGCTGGACGACGAGTACGTGCGCCAGAACCGCAAGATCTTCGTGCAGCTGGTTTGCAACTTCCGTTACGGTCGAGAGGATGACGAGATGATTGGCCTGCGGTTCCAGAAGGAGCTGACTTTGGTCTCCCAGCAGGTGTGCCCGCCCCAAAAGCAGGACATCCAGCTGACCAAGATGCAGGAGCGACTGCTGAAGAAGCTGGGCTCCAACGCCTACCCCTTTGTGATGCAGATGTCGCCCAGCTCCCCGGCCTCCGTGGTGCTCCAGCAGCGGGCCAGCGACGAGAGCCAGCCCTGTGGTGTCCAGTACTTCGTGAAGATCTTCACCGGGGACAGCGATTGCGACCGGTCGCATCGCCGCAGCACCATCAACCTGGGCATCCGCAAGGTGCAGTACGCGCCCACCAAGCAGGGCATCCAGCCCTGCACCGTCGTCCGCAAGGACTTCCTTCTGTCGCCCGGCGAGCTTGAGCTGGAGGTCACCCTGGACAAGCAGCTCTACCACCACGGCGAGAAGATAGCCGTCAACATCTGTGTGCGCAACAACTCGAACAAGGTGGTCAAGAAGGTCAAGGCCATGGTACAGCAGGGCGTCGACGTGGTGCTCTTCCAGAACGGTCAGTTCCGCAACACGATCGCCTTCATGGAGACCAGTGAGGGCTGCCCCCTGAACCCGGGATCCAGCCTTCAAAAGGTTATGTATCTGGTGCCCACTTTGGTGGCCAACTGCGACAGGGCAGGCATCGCCGTCGAGGGAGATATCAAGCGCAAGGACACAGCTCTGGCCTCGACCACACTGTGAGTGATTACTTTTAGTTGGAACTGTTCCGATAACGAAGGTTTCTTTTCCAATTCAGCATTGCCAGCCAGGATGCCAGGGATGCCTTCGGCATTATCGTATCCTATGCTGTCAAAGTCAAGCTCTTCCTGGGAGCTTTGGGCGGTGAACTTTGCGCCGAGTTGCCCTTCATTCTGATGCATCCTAAGGTAAATATTGGGATGAACTTGAAACCATAAACTTCAAAAATTCATGTGAAAACCACTCTTCCAGCCAAGCCGCAAGGCTCAGTTGGAAGCCGAGGGCTCCATCGAGGCTTAATTTGGAAATGGCTACCTCAACAAAATGACCAAATGGCTTGTTTCTCCGCTGATGTCCAACTGATGTTGGTGGACCTATTAAATTAAAACAAAAACTATGCTGATGTTGCTGAATTGTTCTGAACTGCAGTCGTCGTACTCTTCCTATATATCAAGTCCAATATCCATATATGTGTGTATGTGTATTATACTATAACTCAACGAGAATTAAATATGTAACGGATATACATGACTCTGTGCTGGGAGCTCTCTTTATATGAATTAATAGAGTATTGCCTTAACAAATTCAATTAAAATTTGGAGTTGATGCAATCTAAAAGCTGTATTTGCTATCTCCGAAGATATTTACTGATTAGGCATTTATTGGAGTGCACTGCGAAATCAACAGTTGCCAGCACATTCATTGGAATTAGTTGGCCAGCAGTAGAATTGGCTTTCGTGGCCAAGTAATTCCAGTTTGCAATCAGTTTCTGGGAGAAAATTGAATAATGGCATGCCTAGAGATTAAGGAAATAGCTTATTAAATTGAAAGCTAATTTTAATATAATTTCTAAATGTGTGTGCCAAATAATTTAATGTGGCTTGAAAGCTTAAAAGCATAGCGTACTTTGGGTAATATTTGCAGCCTCTGGTACTGGCCATTAGCCTCGTTTAACCGCGAATCTGCCAGTTGTTTCTTCTACCAATCTTTAGTGGGAATTTTCCCTTTCGAGTGTGGTGAAAGTAGCGTATCATTATGGCCAAACAACAATTCTTGGTGGTAGGTAATCTAAATGATTTTCTTGGCTGCTAATCGACTGCTACTTAGGCAGATTAGATTTTCGTATTGCTTTCATAAAATTGCATTTCCATCACAAACAGTAGGTATAATAATAGGCGATAAGGTGGCGCGACTCAAGGCAGAAATAGTTGACCGCATTTATACAATAGTTTAGTTTAATCCAAGATGATAGTGTTTTATTTTTAGCCGCCTTGTTAGATACTCTATCTGTATGTTAATATTTTATATTTTTAATAATTTCTATTAATTTTTTTTTGTATTATCTTTAAATGGGTAAACCTTTTCAGTTGCCAAGTGGGGGAGCTCAAGTAGCCACGGTGTTAGTCTGGCTGATAACAAAAGCACCCACAATAACTCTAATCATTAATGTTTAATGCATTTATCAAGGTCTTCTGAATTTTTAACACATATATTCACATTAGGGTGTGTCGATATAAACTCTTTATTTTTAAGTTTACCTATAACATATTATAATTTTGAAAAATACAGAAAAGTCTTTTGGAAGTACTGTTTGAAGTACAAAGTTTCAAAGTCCCACAAAACGTTTTTATTTTCTCAAGGTGTTTCTCCTAAAAATTGGATTCTATAGAGTGGATATACAGCAAAATAATATATAATGACATATAATAATAATAAACCAAATATATTTTAACGATTACCACCTATTATATATTCCGGAGCCAATCCAAGTCGGTTAAGTACATATAGGAAATATAATACACTTAAGCCGATTAACTGCGTCCTTATCAGTTGAAACAAAAACAAAGCCAATTATTGGAGCAGACATGCTGATTAGTGGATAATCTATTAAGTAGTGCATGAATAAAAATGCTAGTTGGAGTTTTCCGCGGTCAGTCTTTGTTTCGCCGTCGATATGTGCTGTAAGTGCTGCGGAGTGACCCAGCAAAAGGTCTGGGTCTTCGGATCGGGTACGATATTCGCAGTATCGGGTATCCTGCTAATAGCATGCTGGCCAGGCTTCATCGACACCCAGATTATGAAGGTGAAACGGACATACTTATTGAAATAGAAAGAAGTTTAAAAGTGATTATATTGAAAGGCCCTACCACTGACCCCAACCTCGAAGACGTTTGAAAAATGGGAGGAGCTGCCGATCCCCGTTTACGTTTACATGTACCTCTGGAACTGGACGAATGCCGCTGATGTCCAGGCTTACGGAGTGAAACCCAGTTTTGAGCAACTCGGACCTTATGTCTACAGAGAAGAGAGGAAGAAAATGGACCTGGAGTGGCACGACAACGGCACAGTGACCTTCAACCCGAGACGAACTTGGTTCTGGGAGGAAGAGCTCTCCGGGGGCAAGCAATCGGACCTAATAACTGCCCCTCATTTGCCATCGCTGGTAAGCTCAGTTAATACTAGGGTATGACTAGATGATGCCTATTTTTATTTCCAGGCTGCATCCAATCAAATGCGAAACTCCAACGCTTTCATAAAGTTCATGTTCAACCAGGCGCTGAATAACAATGGAGGCAACCTCTTTGTAACTCACACGGCAGTGGAGTGGTTATTCGACAGCTTCTACGACGAGTTCCTCCACTACGCCATGACTCTGAACAATCCGCTGGCGCCGGCAATCGAGTCGGATCACTTCGCGTGGTTCCTGAATCGCAACGGCTCCAAGGACTTCGAGGGGCCCTTCACAGTGCACACCGGTGTGGGTGACATCAAGGAAATGGGCGAGATCAAATTTTGGAAGGGTCAGAACCACACGGGCTGGTACGAAGGCGAGTGCGGCCGTCTAAACGGGAGCACCACCGACCTCTTCGTTCCCGATGAGCCCAAGGAGAAGGCCCTGACCATCTTCATTCCGGACACATGCAGAATTATAAATCTTGAGTTCACGGGGGAGAGTGAAACTATTCAGGGAATCGAGGGCTGGAAATATGAGATAACTCCGAGTACCTTCGACAACGGCCAGGTGAATGCGAACATGCGGTGCTGGTGTCCGGTGGAGAAGCAGCTGAATAACGAGTGTCCTGCCAGCGGAGCCACTGATCTAGGACCGTGTGCCGAGGGAGTTCCCATGTACCTGTCGGCGGATCACTTCATGTACGCAGATGAAAGCTACGGAAACACCATCAACGGCTACCAACCCGACAACTACGAGAAGAACAACTTCTACATGATAATGGAGCGTAAAATGGGGGTGCCCTTGAAGGTGAACGCCAATGTCATGATCACCTTATACATAGAGCCGGACGATACCATCGAGTAAGATATATATGCCGAGGTACATTCCTCTATTATATTTATTCTTTTTAAACAGCATTTTGAAGGGGCTGCCCAGCTTTTATGCCCCACTTTTCACCACAGCAAGTCGAGCGGAAATTGACGAGGAATTGGCAAAAGAATTAAAGGTATTAAATATTCTTAGAAAATAATGAACAAACTACTTACTCCCTATCGTTTCAGCTGGCCCTTAACTTACCTGCCATTGGCCGTTACACGGGAGTTGGGTTCCTCTGTTTGGGCTGTATCCTTATAGCCATTGGTACCTTGTTGACCATTAAGCGGAAGTGGTATGGCCAGGCTGATGCGGACAGACAAGCTCTCAAGGAGAACGAAGAGACCCCTAACGTCACAGATTCGCCCTCCAACGATGTTAATATATAATTTTAGAAAAATCTTTGCCATGAACACAGATTTGTGATTTGCAGAAATCATACTGTGATAAAAATTGTTTTTAATTTTAAATTATTATTTAAGGTTTTTTTTTGAAGATGAAATATAATAAAACAAGAAATGACAGCTGACGGAGCCGAAGTTGATATACCCTTGCAGTTATGATCGGATATAAATCGTTATGAGATAATTATGAGTTTATTATAAAAGCAATTTATTAAAATATATCATTAAAAAAAAACTTTTATCTTGAAAAACACGAAAGTTCGGTCATTTCCGGGTCACTATAGGATATAGTCCCATTCTCATCCGATTCTCAAGCGGAGTACCTTAAACGATTTCTAGATCAATTCGCCACCATTCTGCATCAAAATCCTGAGGCAAAATATTTTTTAGATTTTTTGTCCATTTTCGTGATGGGATCCCTTGAAAATGTGGATTTCTCCTATAAGGTTCACAGTGATGGCTATATCTTCCCCAATTCTCATCCGATTCTCAAGCGGAGTACCTTAAACGATTTCTAGATCGACTCGCCACCATTCTGCATCGAAATCCTGAGAAACGATATTTTTAGATTTTTCGATCATTTGAAAATGGGGTTCTCCTCTATAGAAACCTTCGGTATGAAATTCGGTTTGTCGTATTATTTGCCAAAAATAGGATCCATTCGAACTCTCTTACTGTAAACATATCAAAGTTATTAATATAATCTAATCTTATATAAACTAAATTCTATAGGAAGGAATAAAATTTTATAATAGCTATTCTATTGGAAGACGTTTTTTTAAAGTACAGGGTATTTATTTGTCGATTGGCTATCAAGTTTATTAGCTATAATTATTTGAGCCAAATCGTTAATTATAATTAATTAATTATTAATTATAATTAATGCCCTAATAATTATTAGCCTTATTTACCAAAAGAAGCTCAAAGAACAGCCATTTAAAAGAGCTTTCGCAGATTAGCCTATCAGACCTATTAAAACTTGCGAATTGAGAACAATGTTAATAATAGTTTTTAATCGGTATTCGAGTGGAAATGCCGTAGGGGGTCTGTTTTGGAATCTTATCTTAACTTTCGCCTCAAACATCAATAAACACAAGAGCCTTTCTATAGCCGCCTAAGAGCAAGATTAATAGCCCGGTCTCGGTGGCTTTTTAATCAGTTTGCAGAAATCACTCGCAGAAATCACCCAAAATGTGCTGCAACTGCTGCAGTGTCCGTCAGCAGAAGATCTGGGTCTTTAGCCTGGGTGGCCTGATCCTGGCCTTCGGGATTTTCCTGGCCACAGCCTGGCCGTTCGTGTACCGGCCGTGGCTTCGCAGTATCATGCCCCTGTCGCCGGGCTCCTTTATCTACAAGCGCTGGGTCACCACGCCGGTGCCCCTGTACAGTTCGATTTACTTGTTCAACTGGACCAATCCGGAGGATTTGGACACCGTGGGAGTGAAGCCCAACTTTGAGCAGCTTGGCCCGTACGTGTTCAGCGACTTCAAGGTTAAGGAGGATTTGGTGTGGCAGCAGCCGGAGGTGACTTATTACGGCAAGCGCACTTGGCACTTTCTACCCGAGAAATCCAATGGCTCGCTAGAGGATGTGGTGGTGGCTCCGCACTTTGTGTCTTTGGTAAGGATAAGTGTTAATTATTGCTTACAGGGTCTTTAAAGTGCTCGTTTGTGGCTCAAAAATTGAAAGAAAGATATAAAAGCTTTCTATGCTCATGGATTCGTGGGCTCAATAGCCGAACTGCCAGACTATCTGTCACCCCATCGTGTAAGCCCAGCTAATCCCCGCTATTCTCCCGATTTAGACAGCTGCCTCGTATTCACGCCGATTTCGACGTATACTGCGCAAGGTCATGAACTTTGCCCTCAATCGCGAGGGCGGTGACAGCAAGATGACCCACACAACCGGCGAGTGGCTCTTCGACGGCTACTACGAGAGCCTGCTGGACTTTGTGGAGCAACTCCACTCGCCGCTGCTGCCGATCTACAGCAGCAACTTCAGCTGGTTCTACGAGCGGAACAACTCCAAGACGGCCGAGGGAAACTTCACCGTTCACACCGGCCGCGGAGACCTCAGCCAGTTGGGGGACATTATGCTCTGGAAGGGGGAGAACCACACAGGCTTTTACCCGGGCGAGTGCGGAAAGGTCAATGGCAGTACTGGGGAGCTCTGGTCCCCGGATCGCCGCTGGGATCAGCCCACCACAATTTTCCTGCCGGACGCGGCACGCTTCTTGAACTTGTTTCCCAAGGAGAACCTAACCATCGACGGAGTGGATGTCTGGCGGTATGAGTCCACCAATCGCACCCTCGACAACGGGCAACTGTCGCCGGACACCAAGTGCTTCTGTCTAGAGAACCGGGAGTGTCCTCGCAACGGAGTCCTGGATTATGGGCCACCGGCCTTTAACGGACCATTCTACATGTCCCACCCGCACTTTTATCTCACCGACGAAATGTACAGGGAGAACACCACTGGACTGAGACCGAACGCCTCGGAGCACGGCATGCATGTGATTATGGAGCCGACTCTGGGAATCCCCCTTGACCTAAGGGGGCAGCTGATGATAAGTGTGCGGGTGCAACGGGATGAAGCCATCGAGTGAGTATAATTATCTTCGAATTAGGGGAGACTCCACTTCAGATGTTTGACCAAACACTTAAAGGGGGTTTATTTTTAGTGTGGCATTCTTTATAGTGATAATATTCCACTTCCAGCCAAAAAGATTAAAGCCATTTATGTTTTTGTTTGCTAGCTTTTTCCAAAACGTTTCTTATGACCATTATGCCCCTCTGTTTACGATGCGAATGCATGGCGAGCTGGACGAGGACCTGACCAAGTTACTAAAGGTGAGATGGTGAAGAAAACACCTGAATAACCACCCTTACTTATACCCCACTATTTTCTAGCTTGCTTTGGGTGCACCCCTCATTGGCCAGTTTATCGGAATCGGATTAATTTTGCTCGGCATTATTATAATCTTAACTGGCGTGTTTGTCACAAAGAATCAGAAGTGGTACCACCAACACAGGGAGCCAGAGGAGTCAAGTCGTAATGCAAAATTGGCTGACAAATGATTCAAATGCACTTAGGGTGATAAGAACCTTGAGCGGTCCGAGCCAAAGAAACAAAGCAGTAATCTCCCTATCAATGGAATTTTCTAGGCCTTTTTTTTAAAGCCATTATCGTCTTTAAAGACCGGACCATAAAAAATGCAAACTACGTGCTCGACTGGATTATCCAATTTCGTTCAGGTGTTGCCCAGCTGCGGGAATCTAGAATTACACAAAATTATGGCCTTTCAAATATGCTAAAATTTATTAATATGTTAATAATTGTTTTTTGTTGTTCGCTCGTGAGGCTAGAATCCTTGGGCACGTAAGCTGTATACTTTATGGCGTACGAACTCTTTCACCACAAAAAGCAAAAGGAACGGCAACGGCTTCAACAAGAAAGGCAGCAAATACCAAACTGGAAATTTGAAAAATGCCAAAAGAATATTATAAGCGACTAATTTATATGCGCCAAGCACGCAAACTTACGTTTTGCACACACATTGTTGGTTGCCCATCGAAAGGACGAAGGAACAAGTTAAACAATGTATGAAAATATGAAAATTATATGACTGGCAGTATGTGTCGGCCATAACTTTAACGAAATATTTGTGCTGGGTAGTAGCTATTTTGGGTAATAAATACTTTGTAGAGCTATTCTAAAATTAAACTAAATGTTGGAATATTTTTCGGAATAGAAAGAGTACCATTTACAATTCATAGCTCTCATCCACAATGGGATTTATTAAAGAAAACTGTATAAAAATTAAACAGAATACATTATTCATACTCGGTAAGCAGCAAATATTGTTTAATTGAGTTTCCAGCCCATGGACTAACCAGAAAGTCAACAGGCAAGATATTTTCTAATAATAAATTTTTGTTTGCATAATATTTTCATTCATATTTTGAAATTAAATGGAAAACAAGCCTAACCTTGACAAATTGCCTGAGGCAGCCCCAATAAATGGCTGTCAACACGTTTATTAACATTTATTTTACAGCAGCTCAGTTTTCCATTTAAGGAGGCATCTCAGCACACTTTCTTTCTCGAAAGGACATCGTTTGATTTACGGCCCAGCATATGTTTATATTTAAAGTTTCATTCACTTCTGTGTGACACATATTCCCATTTCTCAATGGCTGATAATAGCCATTTTACAAATATCTCAACTGAACATGGTTTATATATTTTCTCCAGCCTCGAAAGTGACTTCTCAAGGGTTTGTCTGTCAATTTGTATTCTATTTTGGGGTTCGGTTTGGTCTTTGCTGAGCAACCACAGCAATGTGCAATTGTGCGAAGAATTTTTAATGAAATATTTAACAACAGCACCCAGAAAAAAGACGAAGAAAGCCGGTAAAGCAAAAAATGTGGAACTGGCACTGCCACTGACCAGTTTGTCAGCCAGTCAGAAAAAAATGTGTCCAGCAACAAGAACATTTAATTTTGGAAAATAGGTTGTCAAGGTACGCAGACTGACTGACATTTTTATACTTTTTTAATGCTCTTGATACCGATTTGTAACTTTTGTTGGGTCATTTTCATTTCACATAAAAGTTGTTAAAAATAAAGTAAAGTAAATATTTTAAAACATTTTAAAGTGTTAGCCTTTCATTGATAAATCTTCTGATTTTATGCTCTGCTATTGTTAGAATTTCTCCCATCAAGGGTAGCCGGAAATCGAGCCCATCTGCTCATTGCTTACTGCTGCTATAATTTTTTTAATGCCCCTGTGGTTTTTTTTTCTTTAAACATAACAAGCAACAGATCGCGTCGGCGGTTGACTTCATTATTTTGGCCAAATCCAAAAAACCAAGAAAAAACGCTTCAAAGCTCAGAAATGGGTGAGTGCGGTGCGGCGTCTGTGCCATTGTTGCCTGCTGTCCGTTTATGTCGCGAAAACTTCGGTGTCCTAATCTGCTGCCTGACTTGCATACTAATTTGTTTGTTCCTCGTCGGGACGAGCCCTCCCTTTAACGGGCTGCCTTTATGGTCTTTTGGGCTGCTGACAACCCGTAGATTATGTTGTTGGCTTGGCTTTGCCTTTTGTCCGAGAGAATGTGTGTGACCAGTGTCATGTTGCCTTGGCTTACAGATTTTGGGTAGCCAGGCCTCCCAGCCAGCCAGTTTGTTTATTTCAGCTGCCCGTCTATAAAACCCTGTTTAGCTGCTTAATTTTTTCCTTTGTCATGTTGACAGTCTCTCTGTCGGCTCAAGGACTCTGACCGCTTTTGTTGAGCGCTTGTTGGCTTGCTGGGTTCATTTCTCGCACAATTTAATGTTATTTAATTGGCATTTAAGTTTGTGAAAACGCCACTGTTTGAAGCACCGATAAGGCAGACATAATATTAATGTTTAGGTCAGCTTTTATTGGGCGTCCTTGAGGCCCCAAGCAGCCACATAAAATCCGCAGCCAGTATTAAATATTCACGTTTCATTAATTATTACCCATTTTTTAGAACACACATTGTTAAGCACTTGTGTTAAATTTAATTCAAGAACACCAAATAAATCCGTCTGCAATTAATAATTTGTGACATTTTAACTACAATGTGGAAACCGCAGTTTTCCAGCCACATCGCCCTGCATTTTGAGAATTTATGATACAATTCTCTATGCCACGTGCAACGGCTTATCCTTTTTCTATGTTTTGGTTAGAAGAGCAAATTGCATTGGGCCTTTGGCGCTGGGTCAGATGGTATAAAGTTGACAGCATCAGAAGGGAAATCTGCCGCTGCCAAAAAGGCTAAATAAACACAGACCATTGTGCGCTGACGCCAAAAACAACACAAAAATCAACAGGCGAGAATTTTGTGAAAAAAATTTAAAAATTCAATTTAAAAAACATTCCGGAATTTGTGCTGTTCTCCCACTATAGAGGCCCTAGTGCTCATAAAACTGGTTATGGTTAGAAAACTGAATGGCGCAGCCAAACAATTTATGTTTGTAGTTTTTATTTTCTCACCACTCCGCCCTTCTATAAATTTGTGTTTCAGTTGGCTAAAATATTTACAAAACCTGAAAAGCACACTAGTAAAATATTTGGCTGCGCAAAAAGTAGCTGATATAGCTTTCAAATTTAAATTAAACCGGCGAAACCAATCCGAGCTAAGCGAGCCAAAATTGAAAAGTGGAAACTAATTACATATGGGTAAATATAATACAGTTCCGCTAACTGAATGAGTGCTGCAGTGAATTAATTTTGCCCACTTTGTTTTCTAATGTGCTGCCACAGAATCATTTGTTCAAAAATTACGCGTATGGTTGCCGGTCGGAGTATCCGCCGGGCTTCGCATTCCAATTATTGCAAATTCCCGCGAAAATGTTCGAAAAGTTAAGAACTACCCACCAGTTTAGGGCAATTTTTTAAGCGAGAACAAACTAAAAATTAAATAGCCTTTTGATTAAAGAAGATTTTGAAATTTGAGCAATTAAAACGGCGCACGACCAACACTCCCATGTCCTTCCCAGCTGGCCAACTTTGGGCAACGAAATTATTACGCATACGCCATGTGGCACACAATAGGGCTGCCGAACTCATGTGTGCTGAGCGTTCTAATTGCTCGGCTTTATGAACTGAGAGCATTAAGTGCGAATGCAATATGCAGGGCATGCTTTACACGCCGGCCCGATTTGGGTTTTGACCAGGCTTTAAGCTGCGCTCAACTCAGGACACTGCCGATTGGCTTGGCCCTCTGCCAGATGGAAACTTTCGGGAAGCTGGAGCGTCTTCTGCCGGCCTTGCGAAAACCATTTACCCAAAGGGTTAAAACATTAAAGGGATCGCCAAGGAAGCAGCCAAAGTGCTGGGCGCTTTTGGCCGGCAAGGAACTACATCAATTCGAGAGAGAAAGTAGTTGGCCCAAACGAGCACTGGCCAACATTGTTTGGCATCGTGTCCGAGCATATGACTTTGGATATTTGAAAGGCAATTTCCCCAGTGTTAGAGCCATCCATGCAAATTCAATTCCGATGCATTCTGTTTATCGGGCAGTTTTCGCCCTTTAATGCTGCTCTTCTGCCTTTATTCGCATTACATGAGCTGGCGGGCTGCTCATCCCTTTCCATATCCGGCCTAAGGCTTTATTTGCTCAACATTGGCCGTATCCACTGCCGGGGACAGCTGGCGTATGCTTTCAATCAACCGAACCGAATCGCAAAAATTCGCACTTCCGCATGTACGTTTCCGCCAAATTTATCGATCAACCACCTGGCCTGGCCTGGTGCTCAACAATTTTCGCACTTAAACCGCAGAAATTTTGTTAAATTTTCATTAAAAATACATTGCCTGGCAATTGCCGCAGCTGTGCCGTGCTGTGTCGGCATCAAAATGTCACTCCGCGTTCCAGCAAGTAAGCTTTTTGCATCCGTTTCACGAAGCCATGTGTGAAAAGTTTTCGAGGGAATGGAGTTACACCAACGGTCTGCAAACTGTGAGTTCTTTAAAGTGTTTACAAATATATTCATCAGCGGAAATCCACATCAAACCTCAATACTAGAGATAGCTTTACATAACTCAACTATTTCAAAATAACTAACTTTGAGTGTCAATAACAATAACTATTTTGACATTTATTTAATCAAATCAACCAGAACAGCCTTAAATACATTCCATGAAGAGCTGTCTATAAGCTTTTAAATCAATATGCCTTGCAGAAAAACACAATTGATTGCTTCTGCTACTCATTTGTCAACTATATCGGAATAACGAAGCACGAAATTCTATTCGCATTCCCCAGAACCCAGGAGCCAGAAGCCAGGACCCTCATTGCCATAATTGTTAACCACATGCCATTTATGCCACACTGTAGGACTGCTGGCTTTCCATAATTTATTTACATATATAGATGCATGTGACTTAATGCCGGAGCCGGGCATTTAATTAAGTAAGGCAAATCCATGGCCATGGAATGCTCGTTGGTTTATTGGCCAAGTATCACTGCAGCATTTAATAATGTCAATTCCATTTGAGTTGTGTGTGCGTTGATTTAGTTAAGGCTGCGGCTTACTGGCGGCCAATTTACAGCTCTGTCGGCTCCGGCTGCTCTGTCCGGGCCTGTCGGACTGCGTAGGTCAGCTGGAAGCCCGTCTCGGAGGCACTCGATTGTGCGTCGCTGGAAAAGTGCAACACAAACGGCGACCGTGCCACCAGCTCCTGCCCCGAGAGGTTGCTGCCGCAGTAGAAGCTGGCCTGCAGCTCCGGCCTACTGACCATGTATGCGTTCGGAATGCTGAGGTAGTCGGACACTCGGCCGAGAGTCTTCACTGTACTGCGGCAGTCGGTGTCGTAGGCCGGTCCTGGTGCGTCAGAATTGGCCTTCGAAATCGCAAAATGGTCGATCTTGTAACTGTTAGAAAGGGGTTGGAATTGTGTCAGGTTCTGCCGTTGAGTCACTCTTTGAATTCCCCAAACTTTTATCTTTTCTGACTCATCACTCACCTTATCTCCTCGTCGGCCGCTCCCT